GTTATACTAGTTTCGGAGAAATTCCACTCCTCCTCAGTAACCTGAACACAAGCTAACCAAAGAGAGATAAGCTGGACCTATGTCACAGTGAAATGTATCAAACATACTGTCCAGTGTATAGGTTTTTGCCTACAAAGCACATTCATACCAACAGTATGTTTGTCGTCAAAGATAGTTGAAAAGCTAAAACTGGTAAAGCACAGAAATGAGTATAAGTCATCGATCCCAAATAAATACGTTAATGGACATCTAGTTTTCAAATAAATACGTTAATGAACATATAGTTTCCAAATAAATACGTTAATGAACACCTAGTTTCCAAATAAATGCGTTATTGAACATATAGTTTCCAAATAAATACGTTAATGGGCATCTAGTTTCCAAATAAATACATCAATGAACATATAGTTACCGCTGTGCCACTGGGGGGCTTAAAAATTATTCCTTACTGTAAAAGCTGTAACTTGCAAAAGGAAAATCTTTATAATTATTTATCTTACAATATTATTAAACTCTGTGTTTTTCTGAAAACTTGGTTGTATCAAAAATTGTTCACTTAATAGCGATGCTGTGGTATATATATATATATATATATATATGTGTGTGTGTGTGTGGTTTTAACGCTGATAATGTAATTTTAAACAATTTCGAAACGGCTGTAGTTATATATGTGCTTTTGGTATTACCTTGTTTCGAATATTTATTGTGAACGTAATAATAATTAACAACAACGACAAAAAAATGTTGTAAGCTATATTTTCAATGGTTTAATTTAGATATGACCTAGAGAGCGCATGACATTCAAATCAAGTAAGTTCATAAAAGTAGTTCTAGAATACATAGAAATTCACGATGACGATGACGTCAAGAATCTGGTAACTTCCACTAATAACTAGACGTCAGTGTATTGGTATAAATACAAGTAAATCGTGAAGTGTTACAATTGGATAAGATGTTAATACAGGATTTTTTAAGAAGTTATTGAGTAGTGATTGAGAATTATTTGAAGTAATTAGTGTCTGAAAAATCACGTAGTTGTTAATCTAAAGAAAACTGATAGAGTAAGGTTAATTAGTAAGTTAGGTCTGTTACCAATGAAATAAAGTTCTGATAAACGTTATTAGTATATTGGACCTACAATAGTTTCAGAGTTTAAATTGTAAAGTTTGATTTTGAACTTTGGTCTACAACTTGCGTCAAAATAAAACTAGCTTGTAGCAAACGTTATTGAAAAATAAATTAATTCGTTCTCGTTACGTGGTTCGGGCTTCATGTTATTTTCGCCAAACAGTTTAAAAGCACCTACCCAGCGATAGAATAAGTTATACCAGAAGAAATGCAAATTCACAAACTCATTTGGAAACAATCAAACTTTTTATATATAAACTACTTTACTGGATCGATTTAGTGCTAAATGTTTTTTAACCATTTCAAATTTTAGTAAGATGATTTATATCATAAATAAAGAAAAATAGATAAAAGTTAACCAAACACAGTTCAGTTTTAGACGGTTGTTGTTGTTGTTTGTAGTTAAGCACAAAGATCTGCCCACCACGGGTATCGAAACCCGGTTTCTAGCGTTGTAAGTCCGCAGACATGCCGCTGTGGCACTGGGGGGGGGGGGCAATTTTAGATGGAAAAAAATATCATTATGCAGTCTGTCCTTATATTCAGTTAATCTCCGATAGTAAATTGATCGCAGTAAGACAGAGGGCTTGGGTGTCTGTGAATTTAAGAAATTAATAGTTTAATACAAACCATCCACTGGACTCACTATATCATTAGCAAATAGTCAAGAAATTTATGTGAAACTAACAATTTATGGCAGAACATATATTGGATTTTAAATTGATAGAAAATAAAACAGTATAAAGTACTTTTTAGTGATTTTTTTCCTTATTGTTTTTTCCACCAATCAGCAACGCCGGATTTAGAATGAGCTTGAGGCTTTGTGTGTGTTATTGGACTTTCAGTAGGTTGTAATACGTACAAAAGGATATAGTCGGTTGGTACTAGATTTTACTTTTAAAACATTTTGACTGCTGGAAGTTGTTTTAAAAATTAAAATGGGACGTGATAGTGATCGAGAAGTAAGTATATTACATAGTAACGGTATATTTGCATCTTCTTAACTTTGGAAAAATAGTCATAGACATAATGTTAGCTATTAGTATTACAGCTAAATTTATAGCTAACCCTAACAGTAACAGTAACACTGAAAAGTATTGAAGGAGTTCCAGGCCCATATAATAGCAAACAGTTTTCATGCATTTTAGTTTTGTTACATTGCCTTTTAGTTGGTTGCAAAAATACACGAACGTACTTTCAGAAGAATGTTTCGTGTTTGCTTTGTCTTAGTTTTTTATCTCCGATTTAGGCTATGACTGTGGATGTTGCTAGATATTAAAGTTCATGCTAATCTGAGATAGATCGCGCCATTTTGTTAGGTAGCCATATTCGTTCTCGGTGATCAGTAAATTTAGGCTTAAAGTTAAAATTTTAGGGAAATTGAAATAGTTGAATTAGACGCTAGTTTAACAATATTATTAGTGTTAGTCCGTATAGTTAGAATTGGTTACAATTGTTACGAAGAAACTTGTTTAGTAGTGATTTTAACTGAATTATTTATCTTATTACCATTAGGTTTTACTTGAACTTGTAAAGTTGTATTGTAATAAGATATAATTAATCTAATGTTAAATCTGTATGTGTAATTATTAATTCATTCTTAGCTTATAATTAAGTTTAACTTTAAACCATGAATTACGATGGGTGTAACTGTAAACTACTTATCTAAACTTACAACAGTTTTCATCATGTCATATTCATATTTAATAATTTGGTACTTAGATAAAAAGAGATTACAATTAATTGTTTTAATTAATATCACTAAAGGATTCCTAGGAAATACTAATGAAACAATTTCCTCATATACAACTTTGCTATTTTTGATGTAAATTGTTATAGTTATGGTCGTAATACTAATAGAACTGAAAAAAGTGAAATGGTTGTCTCATTATTCTCACCTATATGACAGCTATTTCAAAGGTTTTTGGAGGAATTGTTAACCAAATATATCTCTCTTTGTCTCTTTAAACAATTTTTCACTTTCATCTATTTTAATAAATCATTTTCTATTTTAGAAGACTTGTATATTCGTTCATTAAATCTGTTTTCCGATTTCTTTAGATCTGCTCAATTGTCCCAGTGACCAGAAGAAAGTAGTCAAAAACTAGTAGATATTAAAATAATTTAAATTACAACAAACTTAAGCATTTTTATGTTTCTTTAAATCATTTCACAGCTTATTCAATTTTCAAAGCTAAGAACTCGTACATAAGTATTTTATTGAAGGTACTTCATTGAAAGTTCATCTCAAGTTTAAGTTTTTCCTGTAGGTATTTTTCAATGCTATAAAACTAACCATAGTAGAGTCGAGTCAATTTGGATCCAGTTGTTTTCTGGTTTATACACATCTACTCACTCAAACGAAGCTAATTTATCCTGCTTTCTTTTAACAAAGTAAAATATTTTTATGTAGTGTACAAGAAATGTTTTCAATAATTTTAAAATTTTTAGGGAAGTGTTGATCAACAAGAAAATGATTCCCAGCATTTAAGAGAGAAAAGTCCATCCCCTCATCATTCTCCAAGTCGAAGAGAAGAGAGACGCTCAAGGTCGCATAGTCGTACCCCTCATTCACGTTCGAGATCTAGATCTTACTCAAGACGCCGACACTCGTACTCTAGGTCCAGGTATGAATTTGTTTTAATGTTGTTAATTTTTTTGTGTTTAGATCCTGTATTGAAGTTTTATTTTTGGGGGTTTATTAGCTTAGGTATTTTTTAGGGTTCTCACATTAAATAAAAATAAAATCCTTCCCTGGAATCTCCTATGGTTGTGGAAATATTGATTGCCACTTACTGTAACAGAATTTGCAGTAAGTGAAAATCATTAAGTCTGAAATATCTTTGCATGTAAATGCAATACTTTGCAAAAGTAGGTTTTTTTCATTTAGACTGACCTTCAAATGGCAGGCCTTACTTCATAACCTAGATTTTTTTAAGAGGGAGTCGTGAATACACTTTATGTTGTGTTATCGTTGCCATATTTCACAGAACAGTTGTTTCATCAGTGGAAAATAAGTTGTAGTGGCAAACAGATATCGAACGTGAAGTTTTGAAATGCAGTTTACCAGTCTATTTGAACCATGATTAAGTTGTAATGGCTTATATAACAAGCTATCTAATGTACAATTTGATACATCTTTAATGGTGGGTTTAGTAAAGTAAATATAAATATAGTAATGGTTTATCCCCCTTTAAAATAGAAGGTATTTCAAAATACAATTTTTATTCTCTTAATCCTCCAAGTGAGGATTGAAGGGGTTATGATTTTATATGGTGTAAACAAATGTGCCTGTAGAAGTGTGCATTGGTGCAATATTAGTCACAATATGCAGTATAAAACTAAGAGAATAGCCATAAAATCAGTAATTTACCCATTTTCAGCCAAATGGTACTGTTACCTTTGCTTTTGCAGCTTTTGACTACCTGTCTTTGTGCATGGTGTGGCAAAACATGGCTAATGAATATACAAAATGATATAAATATTCATGAAAGCTATGTTATGTATTGGGAGAACTTGTTTTCCTTTAACAAGTAAATATTAACTCTTTCAGCACGGGGGGACCGACATCATAACCTTTTGTGCTTGTTATAGTTTTCATGCTATAACTTGTAAATTAGTAAGCGAATTTTAACAAAATTTGGCAGATTTTCATTAAACATTACAATGCTCTTCTGTGCAAAATATTAATTTTTTTTTTTTATTAAGTCTTAAGGTTTGTAAAGCAATGTTTTTCTGATGTCTTTTTTTTTTCTTTTCGCATGTTGCTTATCTATGATGCAAAGTAATTTTCATTTTAAGATTAAAAATACTTTTATGCATCAGAAAATTCTCAAATTTCATATGTGAAATCTTTATAATGTCCAGATAGTTATTAAACATTTCCTAAGTAAAAACTTTATATTTTATCTGTTATTTTCAGGAATGATTCTCTGTATGGGTTCGGTAGATTTGACCGATCTTGTAACCACCATTAAAAAAAAATGAAATAAATATAAATTTGCCTCTTTCATTCTAGAATGAACACAAATTATAACACTAAAACATAAATGGTTAGTCTAAATAATTAAATCTCATAACACTATACATTTATATATATTTATTATTTTTATAATATTGACCTTTTAACTGTGCTTGGCTAACAATACAGAAGTTACAATGATGTGGTACACGTGCACTTATGTTAATGTATCCAATAACATAAAACTGACCATTGATCTGTACAAAGTAACTTGTCTTAGCTGTGTTTTAGTAGACTGGTGCTGTGTAAAATACAGTCACTTATCAAATATTATACATTATATAGGTTATTGCTATTTTGAAATAAGTTCTTAAACATATTTTTCCTAAAACATCGAACAGCAAATAAAGAAGTAAAGCAAACAATTATCTCTTCTATTTACGACCTTTGTACTTGGTTCCTGCTTGACGTAGGTTGCTGAGCCTTTAAAAAGTTTGCACATGGAGGATATGAAACAATTTTTCCAGGCATGTGTACAGAAAAAATGATGAACCTTAGGCTTTAATTCTTTCACAGAACTCTTCCATCTGGGATCCCAGTGATGGTGCGCTACTTTGAGAATATAATTAGATTTGAGGGTAGGTTGGTAGAGATCCTGATGAGTAATAAAATCAAATCTGGTGTGTGCGTGTTCCACGTTTGGTATTGCTGGTGCACAAAAATGTAGTTAATAAAAAGGCAACAAACAAGTACAAATAATTATTATAATAGACAAGTTGGGATATATATATAAACACAACCTAGCTAGCTATGGTACAGAAAGTTTTAATGCTACAAATGGTATTCAAACAAGTCAAAACTAAAAATTTTATTGTACTTTTATATATAGTATTTATCACACCTTGTGTTATACGTGTTCTTTTACTAAAACACTGTCTTCTGATTACAGATTTCGTAACTTATAAACATCAATTTAACTGTAGGCTAGCGGGCATGCTTCTTGACGGCATAGTATATTGTTGGTACATGTTGGTTTTTATTTCATGAAAATAAATTTACCCAAAAAATCAAACTTGTATTTCAAATTTCCCATGATTATTGTGATGTATGGTTAAAATATCTGTCTGTTCAAATTTGAATACTTTTACAAGTTAAATTTTATTATTGAAAGGTCAAAGATGTCATAATAGCATATGCTGAGAGTGAAAGGACTCGGTACAAGATTTTGTAAATGCATGCTTACTTTAATAGTGGTACAACGCAGTATGACATATTTGGGCACATTATTGTTTGTTAATATGTCTCATGTTGATGTTACTTATGTTTGTATACAGTAATTAGATACAACTCTACGATATGTGAAACTGAATTGCCAATGTTCAACATGCTTGATCTTACTTTTTTTTTTTTTTTTTTAGTAGGAGTGGTTCACGTTCTCGAAAACGTCATCGTCGTTACAAATCAAGATCTAGGTCCAGAACACCAAAACATAGGAGGTAGTGAGTATCGTTTAGGCTGTAAGATAAATGTGCAGTTACTTTTTAAGTATTTAGAATGTATGGTGTAACTGTAAATTAACTTGCTCCTTTCACAGTGTGAAATATAATTTTTAAAAAAAAGTATTAAAGTTATGTAACTGGTATGGACACCTTATTGGGCGTTAGAAGCTTTGTTTGTCTGCAATATTTCTTACAATGTAGAATGAAGGTAAAATATATGATATAGGCCAGCCTTTTTTGACTCTTCACAACGCAAGCTCCGTCAATTTGACCGACCACGTGACCTATTTGTACTCATTTAGTCTTTATAGATTTAATACCTAACTTTCAATATAGTGTGTATATCTTCACAAAATTTTGCAGTATTTCAGTTAAAATTATAAATCTTTCACATACAAAAAAAATCATATTTCTTAGTGAAGTATTTTTAATAAAAAAAAATTTGTCCATGAATATATTGAGTATTTGTTTGAATAGTCCATGTGCAAAGTACTTTTCATGTTAAAATGAAAGATACTTTTCCTCATCTCAAATTTCCTTTGTATAATCTTTAAAACCTCCTAAATGTGTTTCAAACACTTTTTCAGTAATACTTTATAGTTTATTTTCTCTGCCCTATCTCAAAACACCCCAAAAAAAATCTAAATATATCCAAATTACCCTTTTTTTTTTTCGTAGAATGATTTAAAATTGTAATATGAAACTACATTCGTTTATCCTAAGTAGCTCTATGTTCGTAACAGTATACATCTATTTATAATAACCGTGTAACTACTATCTGTGTCATAAGTTGTAAATCACTTGGGGAATTGGCAGCTCATGTTATGCTAATGAATTACATTACCCACAAGCTAGTATGAGCTGCTTGTGCCTCGTGAAACATTTTTATTATATTTATTTTATCAAATCTAATCTTAATTAACCTAAGATCTCTATTTTTACATTTAGTTACTTTTATAATTAGACAAAGAATAAACATGAAGAACAAGAAATAAAATACTTAACCAATCTTGTTTTTTTTTTTCTTGCTGTCTATTGTCGAAGAGTTAAACCTAATTTTTTTATTTAGATAAATTATGCACCAAAGAATATACACTAATATGCAAAAAGTAGGCAAATTCTCTTACCTCAATTTTTCTGGATTTCTAACTATGTGACAAGAGTCGTTACAAATTCACCCAAGCTAGTTAACTTTCTCATGGGAACAATGTTGGTACTCTGAGTGAAATTGACATTTAACCATTCAGAACACAACATTATACAATATGTCATTTGATAGATGAAAATCTAGACTTTCTATTGGTTATAAGTAATATATAATTTAACGTAAGAGGGAACTATTAACGAATTCTGAAAGATAGGATGTGGCAGGAGGGGTCTTATTTTCTTTTCGATAGCTCTATAACCTAACAAAATTGAAGATTAAATAATGGTTTGTCTGAGCAATGATGATTTTATAGAGTAATTTATGTTTAATATAATTTTTTTTTTTAAGGTTGGTGGATAAAATAGGAAAGATGATATGTTAAGAGAAAATGTGTCATGTGAGTCACACTAGGGGAAATTCTGAATATATATATATATATTTTTTTTATTATTATTACATATTGCCTTGTAGAATTAAGAACTTAAAACTTGTTTACTATTTAAATATCGATTATTAGGAAAGATTTTATGCTATTCTAATTGGTATAACAAACAAGAATTAGTTTATTAAAATTTTGTATGTAAGACACTAAAACCTTGTGTCATGGTCAGTAAAGGAAACCTGTGGCAATAGGATTAATATGGGTAGCAGTAGATTTAGCGGGTAGTTCACAGTGTCGTTGCTTTAGCCTAACAAATGATAATGAAGCTATTGTGAGAGAGGGATTGATAGGAAACTTAAATTTTATAAGTGCATCTGAATGATTTTATTATGCATTTTTGTTAATTTACTTGAGTTTCATAAAGATGTGATGGGGGGGATTTTTGGTTGACAGCCACCTCTTAAATCGGGAAGTGGGGGTTTATACTAATGATCGTTTGGTAAGATGGGTTTTGATCATATGTAGAAGTTGAATGGTTTTCTTAAATTTTAAATTTTCATTGGTATCAAATAAAAACATTAATACTCCACAATTAGGTTATTTCTAAAATATATACTCTTGCAAACTGTTACATTCAGTCTATTAGTACTATTATCATGTGATTTAATTTGAAACGGTCTTTAAAAAAATGGTCCCACATTATACTGGACAATTTTTGAACAGTAATAACTGAAGTATACATTTCTTTGTAATATATACGATTAGTTTACACTGCATTTGTTCCACTTATTGTATAAAGGGATTGGTTGACCTTAACTGTGTTAATATACTCAGTTAAAAGGTATATAGGGGCTATTTTGACAGAAAACTTTCTTTTTATCTGTGTTTATAGATTTTAATATTAATCCTTTTGCTACGGAAGGTTTAGAGCCTCATTAGGTTAGATAATTGTCTAAGATGATAAAATATGGTGATAATAAAAAATACTGAGCTATGTGTTTGTGTGGTGATTTATAATTTGTGTGATGGGATTATTAGTTTGCGTGGTTCATAAGGGCAGTAAAACAAAATATAAACAGACGTGTAATGATATGAGCTTTAAGCTATTTAGGATAAATAATTGTTGTTTTCTGTTACAATTTAAAACTATTCTAGAAAAAAGGTTGTTTGGATTTATTTTATTTTTTTTCATGGTGGTTCCAAGGAAAGTCAGATGAAGAAAAAGTATTTTTAATCTTAACATGAAAATCAATTTGCATTCAGGGTAATCAACACTGACTGTATATTCACCAAATTTTTTTTTAGTGAGAATACTTAATTAAAAAAAAAAATATTTTTGTATACATGAAGATACAAAAACAAATTAAAAGATATAGTATCAAGACTAAAAATTACTTTATGGTTACAAGGTTGGTCACAAATTGCTCAACCCAGTATGGAAAGTGTTAACTGGTTCATATATATTTGGAGCCAGCAAATTTTGTCATCCAAAGTGAAAACTTTGTCAGGACTATTTTCAAGGCTCTCAGACCCTGACTAATTGTTAAACCAAATGTGTATATTTACAAAAAGTGATTGTCACCATAGTGAGGTTGTCTTATATATGCATGATGAAATTAATTCAAACATGGTAAAAAGGCAGACAATTTTAAAGCAGTCTATCCCAGTTAAGAATTTGACCTATTAATGTAGATAAACTAATCTGATTGTTAACTGTCTTTGATATTGAAAAAATAAAACTATAGCTGAAAATTTAAAATTAATGGAAACAAAAGCAAAAGAAGGAAGAAACATTAAGTCTAACCTTTATCTGTCAATAGTTTTTTCTTATTACAGTAGTTATTCAGAATAATTATGCTTTGTGTAGTTTTTAATCTTTTCTTTCTCTTCACTGACTTTTTATTTTTTCAACAGTTACATTGACTTTTGAAATGTCAACTAATATAGAAATATTTATACTAGACATTCAGATCTGTGCCTTTAAAGGCCATGTTTTTAACATGATGTTTTATGCTGAACAAATGTGTGTAATTGTTATTTATTCATTTTTTTTTTTAGCTCAAGAAGCAGGAGGTAAGTTCTCTTTGATTAATCTATAGGGTAGCTTTTATATATTTAAATGAGAGTAGTTACATGAGTAAAGCTCAATTATTAAAGGTATTTGTTAATTGATAGATCAAGTAAATGGTTATTATAGTGTTCCTCAAATCATGCTATTCTTTACCCCTATGAGTAAGAAAAGAAAAATCCCAGTAGTTGATGGTGGGTGTTATCATCCATCTACCTTCCTTGTAGGCAGCACTTCAAAATTAATAACAATTGTATATACCCCTTGCCCCCAAAATAGAATGAGTAAGTGAGGTGGCAAATGGAATTGTACCTCCTCCTCCCCCCCCCCAAAAAAAATTGGTATTGATACTTGGAGTAGCTAAAGTACAGATAACACATCACTAGGTTTCTTTTCTGTTTTTATGTATCATATCTTGTGAGCAATTATGCTCAAAGAAAAACTTAAATTATAAGTGCTAAGAAATTTTAATTCTCAATTACTTTTAGTCACTGCATTGTTATGTGTATGTTGTGTTATTTCAGTTTATAATTTTTTATATATTTTTAATATATTTTTGGGATTATTGTATTTTTTGAAAATGTTAATTCTGTGATAAAATGTAGAACAATAACCTTACCAATAGACCTAATTTTTAATTAATAAATTGTTTAGTGTATTTTTTAAATGCAGAGCAGTTGAAAATGTCCTAAAGAAATTGAAAAATAAAAGGTTTAGATTTTAAAGAAACCAGTGTGATAAGTCTTGAAATGCATAATTGTACTTTCACGCTGTTGGGTCATCAAACACATTGCAGGGGACCTATGGGACCTTTTTATTTTTGTCAATTTATAATACAATTAAGACTGCTATGTAACAACTATTTACTATGCCAATATGAATGACCCACATAACTTGAAAGCCAGTTTTTCATACATGTACCAGAGTAGGCCTAATGATATTATGCACTTTGTTGAAAGAAATGATAAAACGAAAAGTTGGCTAAATTACTGAAACTAACATCAGTAGACAGTTTTTAACATTATATTCTATAGATAATTAAAGTCCCTTTACTAATTTAAATAACATAAAAAAAAAAATAATTGTCCATCTTTACCTGAGGGTGAAATAAAATAGAGCTTGATGTCTTTGAGTTACGAAACTTGAGTTCTTTTAAATGGAAAATTGGTTGCCAATACACCAAATTTTGATATTTTGACACTAAATATCTTAAGTACTGGAAAGGGTTAATAATTTAAAATTTTATTTCTTATTTTTACAACACAAGGTTCTGTAGAAAAATTGAAAATCCTGATGTGTTTTTTTTCTGACTAAGAAAAAGGGGGGATTGCCTCAGTTTTTGCATTGTATAACGGCAGGTGAATCTTGTACTTCTGTATTACTTACGTTGGCATATATTCAAAATTGCTCAATGTCTTTGTGAAGAGCATCCTTTTCAGGTTTGCCCTTAAAGCACTTTTACTGCATTTTAAAGTTAGATCACAAGCTCCTTTAAGCCTAAAAATCAGTTACAACCTAAATTCACAACCAGAGCTGGCATTTGTGCTCTGTTCCAGCTATTCATATTCGCCAAAGCGATCATATTCGCCAAGGTATAGTCCGCGGCGATCACCATATTACAGAAATCGTTACAGTGGTTATAGTGACCATGACTTTCACAGGAGCCGCACAAGATCCCCCATGTCAAGTCGGCGGCGCCACCTCGGAAGTCGGGTAAGTAGAACTTGTCTTTTATCGGTAACTTTTGTGTGAGTGGAGCCTTTGTTTGAAACTTTGAGCATTTCTTGTGTTTTTATTAATCTCAACTTCATGTGTAGTCTGTTACAGAATGAAATATGAACAGTAATGAGTATAGTGTTGTAAGGTATGAAATGTTTTGTGATTATAAACATGGATTTTCCTTTATTGTATATTAAATTTGGAGATTTTTATAAACTTGTAAACGAAAAGACTAATAAAAATATTTTAGGTATTAGTTTAAGTGAGTAATCAAGAATTTATAACCTTTACTTAAGTGAAATTTACAAATTCATTCAGTTTATATCCAATATTATATTGGATATAAGTGAATAAAAAAAATTGTAACTGTTGCATCATGCAGAAACTGAATTTTTGTTTTATTTGTTTCATTATAATGTATAAATGGATATTTATAGCTTTCTGCTTAACAGTTATAACAAAGCATGAATACTTTTTGAGTTAAATTTTTCTTTTTTATTTCAGTTAGACAAGGATTTTAGGGTTAGTAGAAATTTCTATATCTGATTTTAAGCTGTTCACTGATTTGTTTATTCTTCAAAATTTTGAGTTATCACTTGTTTTCCTAAACTTGTGCTTTATTTGGCATTAAAATATTAATTGTTGGGTGCAGTAAAACCTCATTAAATTGTATCTCGTGTTCATTTTTCTTGATTTGTACTAAACTGTAATTCCATACCATTAGCTTATATTGTTATTACATAATTTCTTTCAGTAATTGTCATTTTGAAAAATTTAAATATGTTCTAATGAAAGTAACTATAAAAAAAAATTTTTTTTCTTTTAATATTATTAATTTCATACGTCCAGTGAATTCTAGTTTGTGTTATTTTCATCCATTATTTATTTGTATACCTGCAAAAATAACATAACAAATTAATCAGTAAAAGCATGACTTGCATTTATGTCCTAAGCCTATAGATATATTTTTGATGTGCACAACAGTGAGTGTGATCTGGGTAACAACTAGTTATACTCTTATATTTTTGGCATAGTTCAGCAGCTAATGAGGGTACATGTTGACTTGTCCTTTTGAACAATATTTGGTAGTGTTTGCACACTACAGAAGTTTTTAACTGACTAAAGCACTGTATGGTTTTACCACTTATTAAACTGAATTTGAGTTAAATTATACTTGAGAGACTGTGTGTATGTTAATCTTAGTGCTTTGTTCAAGTAACAGTCATTGAGAAATTATTTTAATGGCTTGTGTAAATATTTTTTTACTTGCTTGAATAGTTTTTTTATGATAGCTCAGGTGCTATTGCTAGAACTTTATTATATTAATAAAACATTAGTTATTCAATTTTGGTGGAGTTCACATTCCATTAAAATTGATGAATTACGTTGTTAAAAATGGCAGTTTGGTCTGGAACTGTTTTTTAGTTATTCTGTGCAAGCCTTACTATTAATTTTAGATTACCAAAAACAGTTAAAGGATCTGCTAGTGATTACTTCATGACTGACTAAGCACGGGTTCAAACCTGTAAAAATTCATTAATTTAGCATGCACAAAGTTGGATTAATTGAAGGCATATAATCAGACACAAATTATTTACAATGCATGTAAGGGAAAAGTTCTACAGCAAGTATATTGCAAGGCAACAAATTATTTTTCATGTGTTCTATTTTGATCTTGTTAACTTAAAGTTTAAAGCTTGGTGCAGTTTCTTAAATCTTACAGTTTAACACCAACTTACACTGTTTTTCAAGCTATTTGAGTTACAAATATGCAACAGACTTGCATCTGTTTATTATTTTGACAAGTTTTATCTTTGCAGACACTGTTAAGAAGATGCATATTCCATATAAAAATTACAGTTGCAGGAGTGGCATAAGAATCTAAATTAGGATTTTTTTTTATTTTTTTTTAAAGCTTGGTTTGATCAACTGCTCTTGCATAAAACTTGGGCTGAAAAGGGCTAATATAACTTGATATGACATTACTACTATAAATACCAGATAACAACATTACTCCTAGGCATAATTTCACTAAGTATGACCTTTTAAATGATATTTGTATTGGTTATCTATCATTCTCTGAATTTCATTTTCTGTTGTCAATCGTACACAAAATTTGTTCAGTTGTTGGGTATAGAGTAAACTTCAGTTTGAATGAATTGCATATTGCCTGATATATATGTTCATCTTTAAATGTTTAAGATGTAGAGAGGGGAATTAATTATGCCCTGACATTCAGAAGTTGAAAATACCAATGCCATTCTGAAGAATAAATACGTTTTTAGTCCTGTTAAGTATAATACTTTTAATACTGCCTTAATAAAATTGGCTTCTTTCTTAATATTTCTTTAACATTTATAATTTTAAGGTCCCTTCTTTAATAAGTAAACCTGTCTTCATTTGTTGTGTATTGTAACTTGTTTTTGGTTTCATTTATGACCTAACTTACAGATCATAAATCCGTTTTTGAGTAAAAAAAATTGTCATTTGTAGCTTTTGAATTAATGTTATTTTGTATATTTTTTTGCTGAATTCCTATCCATAAACAAAATTTTAGTGAAACAAGATGGTTTGTTAGATGAGCTATTGTTGGTTAGTACTAATCTGTTTTAACCAAAATATGGATGGGAAGCCCAACTACAGTAACAAACTAGGAAGCGTAGTTAAGTTTACACCGAGTATTTAACACGTGAACAATTGTTGTTTAAGTTTAGTTATTTAGAACGTTTTTGCTAAAATTAATTGCCACTACTTCAGATACAAATTAATGAGGTTTTACTGTGTTATTAAATACTTTATTTTTAATTTGCATATGGCTTATTTTTATTCTTTAAAAGATGGAAATTAAAAGATTTGTCCACTGTTTGCTCAAACAGAACCAAATGTTATGATTCTATCATCTTTTAAAAAATGAAATTATTGTAAAGATCCCCAGAGAGTGTTGGAGTGATCAATAGTAAATATGAACTGTTATGTATTCAAGTGTGAAACTTTTATAATTGGTAGGTGATCATTAAAGGACTGTCATTATTCAGCCAGTCTGAATTTTCTTTGGTTGATATCAGAAATATTTAATGTGGGAAATGTTAATAAATTCTAAGAAGATTAACATGCATAGTGAGTATTGTGTTTTAAAGTAGCCTAAGATTTCTTCTTCTCCAACAGTAGATGAAAAGTTAATGTATTTGTTTTGTGATCTTGGGTGAGGTGGACATTAGAGAAATGTGTGAATGTGCATGTTAATTTCAGTGAGTAGTTTGTTTCATTGTTACCGACCTTGATTAAAACCATCCTTACATGTGTGTGTAATGGGCTAGTTATTCATCTTGATGTCAGAAGCTGTAGAACATTAATCATTTTAATTCTTGCAGTAGCAGTAATGGTAATTAAAGTGACTTTTCCCAAAGATGTTTTTTTTTTATTTAATGTTTTAGAAATCATTTATTCTTAAAAGAAATGTGCACTTACCAGTGATTTTTAAGACCTGTATGGTAGTACTGGTACTCTAAGCTTGTACGTAATAATGAAGAATTTGAGATATTGCAACAAACTAGGCTATCATTAACAATCAAACTGTGTTGTAAAGTGCGGGTTTTTTATCATTTGCTAGATATTAAGGATAGTTGTGTATTTCGTAGAAGGTTTGGTTGCAAAATGTGAATTACTAGTCAATCTCAAAAAAATTTGTCAGATAGTTATTAATACAAGATCAGTATTGGAACATACAAAGTTACACTTTGAAGTGGGTGCTTTATTCTTCAAAATTGTGTTTTTTTAATGTAAATTTACTCAATTTTACATTATGTATTTTTTTTAAATGATAGTCATGCTATTTCCTGTGAGACAGTCTACTTAAGTTTTATCTAAATTTCATTAATATGACACATGCTTAACCCTACTTGGAAATCGCTAGAAAATGAGACCTGGAAGAAATATATTGGTGGAATTAAATTTTTAAAACTGCTGAATTTAAATAAGTGGAAAATTGAAGTAAAGTCACAAGAATAAAATGTTACAAGAACTTGCTTCTTCACAAATTGACATTGTTGCTCCCAGCAGTATGATAATTTCTCCTTGTAGATGTTTTAAAAGGTGCATGTAAAGTTTAGTTTGTGGTGGTCTGGAAGTCATTTTATAATGAGCTTGACATGGTGTGAATGAAATTATAGTTTATTCCAGCATAGATGGATGAGCAGGAATGTTAATACAGATTTCAAGTTGTTCTTTAATACATAAACTTACTTTTGCATATGTGGTTTTGGTAGTGGTTTGTTTGTTTTGTGGAGCTAAAATTTTGTATGTTTGGCTGCTAATGTTGTAAATTCCTTCCCAAGACGTGAGCTTTAAAACGCGTTTTCGTGTTTAATGTAGTTTAATCATGTGTAACCAAACATAAATTTATTTCTTACTTTAGAGAAAATTTGTTGCTATACGGTAAAATGTTGAATATTGAAATGTACATTTGTGTTTCGGCCTTCATTATTTCTAAAGATGTAACTTTCGGAATTCTAGGCTTATGAAATTTTATACTATCTGTAGGATAATCCAGAGCCCTGTCGATGTCTTGGTGTTTTTGGTTTGAGCTTGTACACACAGGAACGAGACTTGAAGGAAGTTTTCTCTAAGTATGGTCCAATTGAGCAAGTTCAGGTTGTTTATGATGCACAGGTGAGTGTTCAAAGTTAAAATTGTAAACTACACATAGACTTTAGTAAAAGAAAACTACAACTCTTGGTAATCTTAATTGAATTCTATTATTACCACCAGACTGAAACTATGGATAATATTAACATATTATTGTCAAAGTTTTTCCAATATTACATCTTACTGTATTGAAACAGTGGTGTGGCCATGTGTGTGACCTAAATAATGGATACAATGATGCCATCTGTTATGTTGAAATACAACAAGATCTCTGTGCCGCAAGTAATGTTACTGATTGGCACTTATTAAAATGTGGCGCCATCTATTGAATGGCATCACAAACTCCATTAAAAAAAAAAAGTATACACTTTGGGTATTTAAGATTCAGACAATTAGAAAAATAACTATGGTATGTATAACAACCATTTCAAGGGGAGTGTTTGGCCACAACATCTAAAGTACTGGGAGGATGGTCTATTCAATCGTATTATATGTAGAGATCTTTCAGTTCCACAGCAGAGAAGTGTGAAAACAAATGTTCATTTTGGTCATTTAATAAACTTGTGTACTGCTGTAGTTTCTGAGATAAATCATAAATAAATAATAAATTAATCTTGCACTCAATACATTGGGGTCTAGCATGGCTAAGTGGTTAGTATGCTGCACTGTTTCAAGAAAAACGTTCTTCACATTTTGTGTTTGTAGGTAGATTGTAAGGGTTATGAGGAAATCCAACTGTTTGGTTAAATAAGAATAGTCAAAGAACTGGCAGTGGGTGCTGTTCTTAAAAGTGCTAATGTACTGCAGCTTTGCACACAAAAAAGGAACTTGTAGGAGCACTGTTAGCAGCCAATAATGTCATCTCCAATATAAACAATACTTTGATCTCATGGATCATTAGGTAGGTGCAGTAAGTTTTTTTCAAAACTGTTATGGTTGATAAAATCATGCATTGTAATGTTGTCTGTTATCTACAGAAATTTTGTGTAATAATATTGTAGGATTATCACCACCAAGACTTTCATGTCTCCTGTTTAATATATCCTTTTGAGTGTAGCATTAAAAGATACTGTATTGGTTTTATAGTTGTGTTTATTAAAGGGTTTTCTAGGTAAGTTTAGGATTTTTCTGTGTTGCTGATAATTTATTATTCCAAATCCTTTGTGGGGTTGAACATGAAGTGGGGGGGTTGTAAAAAGTATGTGGGGAAGCATGTTTTACAACAGAATCTGTACCTAACAAATATAGTACACGAGAATATCTATACCTTTATAAAGTATTAATCATACATTACTTTTTTTCAGACTGGAAGGTCCCGTGGATTTGCTTTTGTTTATTTTGAGACTGAGGAAGATGCAGAAGAGGTAAGCCTAATTAAGATTTTTGTAGTTGTTTTTAGTTTGAGAGAGAATGAAGTGTACAGCATATTGCTAGGTCCACACTAAATCTGAATGTTCTTATTTCAAAATGTATTTTCAATCAACATTTGGAAGTGCTGAACATTTGTGTCATACAGATGCATTGTCTGGTGTAATTGTTTAAAGAATTGGTTGATGTCTATTTTTAATATACTGTTAACATAATATGAATGCACGTTATATTCCATTACATTACTGCCTTGTGTTTGGTGTGATGGTGGTGATTCTACTGCCTTGTGTTTGGTGTGATGGTGGGGATTCTACTGCCATGTGTTTGGTGTGATGGTGGTGATTCTACTGCCTTGTGTGATGGTGGTGATTCTACTGCCACGTGTTTGGTGTGGTGGTGGCGATTCTACTGCCACGTGTTTGGTGTGGTGGTGGCGATTCTACTGCCACGTGTTTTGGTGTGGTGGTGGCGATTCTACTGCACACGTGTTTTGGTGGCGATTCTACTGCACACGTGTTTGGTGGCGATTCTACTGCACACGTGTTTGGTGTGATGGTGGTGGGATTACATAGCATATCATGTTTAAAAGTTTCTTGATGATCTTAGCATATTAATTGTTTTCATGATGACAGTTTTGTCCTATATATAATATACACGTTTTTTCAAAAGATAATGTATGTTTGTTATGAAGTTCTGTAAGATTGGCTATACTTTATCTTTTATGGTGAGTGAATTGTGGTTTGAATTTTGTATGAAGCACAATACACTTGTAGACAGTAACTGGATTGTAGTAGGCTTACTATGATGGAAGGTCTGTCAGTTGGCAGTTAAGTAGTGTCAGGTTTATTCTTTTGTTAACAAACTGTTTGAATCATACTTTAAACGTCATTTGTGTGGAAAAATCATTCTTTTGATTTATATATTATCTATTACTTAAAAGTTGTGTTAAAAATAATCTATCGCCACCAAAACATCAGTTCTTTCAATGCATTGGAGCAGACTACTAGGTAGAGTACAGGGGGTGAGGTGGGGGATATGTTTAGTGATTATGTTTCTGCAGTTAAATGTACTGAGTGTTTAGTGCACAAAACATAAATTTTATAGTAGAATAAGTATGAAACATGTATGCTAACACTAAATTTTAATCTTGAAAAGGAGCACTGGTGTGGTTGAAAATAAGATTCAATGCAACTAATAATGCTTTCTTTCGAGTTTTTTATACTTGAAGGGCTGTATTTATTTCTTAACAACACTATTAATGTTGCTCTGTTTAATCGACAATTTTGTTAAAAGTCCTGACTAAACTGTTTGGAACTGTAACTGTTAAAGGTCTTTTGCTTAATTTTTCACTGAAGTCCTTTAACTTGGCCACAGTAGGTGCTCTTACAATGCAAGCTTATTTATGTAGCATCAAATATGTGTATATAAAATGTATTTTGTGCTTTTATTTAAAATAATAAAACCTGATTACTGTTCCATATAATGTTTTAAATAGTTTATTTCATTTATATGGATTGTGTAAAATAAGGGATTTCAATGAAATAAACCAATAGTTATGGTGATGTCATCAGTAAATGATGTAAACTGGTACTGCTGAAATGTTTGAACCATTGTTTAGTAGCATGTTCCAAATATACTGGGTCAAAGTCTACCCATTGTCATAGCCCTAGTACAAAGAAACTTGTCTGTGTGTGTATAAACACACACTTTTTACAAAGAAAAATTAAATTTGGAAGAATGAATATTGTGGTACAGTCGTTAGAGTAACGCACTTGCAAGAGCATTGCTATAATTGGAAAAGAGAAGGTTTTAATTCTTGTAATAATTGTAGGAGCACAAAAAGTGGTCTTGCCTCTCAGTAGGTAGCCTTTGAAAGAGTGGGTTGTATTTTAAACTTAAGTTAAAGATATTCTAGCCATCTTCTTTCTCTTTAATCCACTAGGCTAAGGAGAGATGCAATGGACTTGAAATTGATGGCAGGAAAATCAGAGTTGACTATTCAATTACAAAAAGAGCACACACTCCTACTCCAGGGATATACATGGGGAAGCCTACCTTGTAAGTACTGTGGTTTTGTGAATATTTCATTTACACCCTTAGTGTTGTAGCAGATGGTCCGATAGTTTTTGGTTATTTTATAGTGAAAGATTAAATAAGTCTTAAGGATGTTCTTATCTCTATCCAAGCCAGTGATTTGGTATTAGAAACTCAGTCACGTTGAACAGGCCTCCCAGAAGTGTGTAAAATTTATATTCTGAAAGTAATTTGTGTGTGTTTATAAGAATGAACTGAGAGGTCTGAAAGTATGATAATTTTTGTGCCTTGTACATCACTTAACTCTAACATAGCTACATTCTATCCCATTACCTAATACAACCACTAACCTGATACCCACATTTAGTATGCAAATGTTTTAGGTGCCCCACAGATTCTGTAGATAGGTTTTTATTGATATTTTTGTTTTTGTATTATTCATTTTACATAGTAATTTTATTGGAGATTTTATTTGACATTTAGGCCAATTATAGCATCTTTCATTTATTTCAGCAGTGACAGAAAAGTCATGGCTAATAAATTTCTAAAAGTAGGCTTAATAACTTCATGAAGTAGCTTATTATGTATAAATCATAAAAATAACTTTTATAATATTAAAATTAATTTAAATATAATACAATATTACTGCTATATATATATTATACACAAATTGGACCCTCTAATCCTGTGAATGATACTGTTCCAAATTGTCCTAAGCTGGTGTTGATATCACTTGTGGATGCCATGGCTTTCTTTTTTATTCCTTAATCTAAAATTACTGCAGAATAACTTGTACAGAAACCATGCTCTAGTAGTTATTGTAAATTGACTTGTAACATCTATTTAAAATGTAAACTGTGTGAAAACCATCTGTAACTGAAAGTTTAGAAAATGGAATTCTGTAGCAAATATTGCAAGAAAGAAAATAAACCTGTTTTTTTTTTTAATGGATTTTTTATGCAAGTTGAAATGATTACAAACTCATCCTGTAGATGTTGACAAACCATAACATAAATTTCTACCTCTTATCTTGCGTTACTGTAATATCAACCCACATTGACACACCCCTCCTTTGTCTTTCAAGACTCATCTATAATTCTCTGACATTACTATTGGACGTGTGATAACCAATAGAAAAAGCAAAATTCAACATATTACTGTTGAAAAGACCTTATCAAGTAAAAATAAACCCATACCTAAGGTACATGGTAGAATTCATTTTTTGTATATTTTGTTATATATTTGTTAACAAAAGTGCATAAAATGACACAGTATGACACATGGACTTCAGAAGCAAGAAATAAATTTGTAACTCTTTAATTTTGGTTTTATTTAATCTTGAAACAGAACACTTTTTGGGACCCTCTCAAAATACATTTAGTAGCGTGAATAATTTTATAATCACATGATGGTTGCAAGATTGGTCAAGGTGACCGAGCCATTGTTGATAGTCTAATTTATGGGTTCAAATGCTTTTCACAGAACCATAGGGAATGGACCCTGATTGTGCAATAAGTTACACAGTTAGGTTGCTATTCACATTAGCCACTGTAAAAATTAAGCCCAACATCATTCAGGGCAGGAAATTTCTGGTAGCATTGCTGCCTTGTTTTTGAAAATTACCTTGATGTCCTAAGAAAATCACTAAAATCCACAGGCCTCCCTTCAGTATCCTTTTTGCTGTCATGCCCTCACGATCTAAGTTTGTATAGTGTACTGCAATAAAGAGAAAAAACACCAGACTTATAACCTACAGAAACTACCTTGTTACAAATAATATATCACAAAATGAATGTAGTGGATGGATTGAAGTTATTACTTTGATTGGCAGTAAAATGTGCAGTTTGTTGAGTTGTATCATATTGCAGTCTCTTAGAAGTAGTAAGCTATGCAAATCAGTGCTCAAACAACAAGTCTGCTGAGTTTACACAAAGATCCACAGCAACAGCAGTACCATCAAAGTCGGCAAGTACATACACGTGTCAGAGTGAAGTGTGCGATTGTAAATTACTCCTTGCATTAAAAAATGCCGAAAACAGGAAGGAGTTAAGAGAGAAAATGCCATGTAACTTTTTCCTCATCTGTCAATATGCAGATTACATACTGATTTTTTATTAGGAAAGTAAAGGAAATGGGATATGTCAATAATTTGGCTCGATAAATCTTGTGTGCAAACCCACCATAGGCTTAGGCCTACTACATTAGCTAGCTATGATTAAAGTTACTGAATTATGAGTGGCAGGTTATGCGGTGTGTGCCGACACGTGATTTATAGGTTATGACCGTGTGCTATACCGTGGTTTAGACCTAGCTTACAGTTTATCGACACTAGCCTATGTTAGAAATTATGCAAAAAAGTACTGTTAGTAATATTGTTCGGAAATGTCTTGGCAATTTGTATTTATCTGTCTGTCTGTCCATCAATATTTTCAAAGTGCTGATGTTTGGAGACCATGAAGCTGATTTTCATCAATCTTGGTCAAGTAGTCAGACATGTTGGGATTGAATTTTGTTGGTAGAAATTAGGCCTTTAAACTTCTCCTTCCAGAGATTTTGTCTTATTGTTTTCAAAGTTAGACAAAGCAATAAATGGATAGAGGGGCATAAAAGTTGAATACAATTCGTAGGTCAAAGGTCATTTGGGGTCAGGAGGGTTAAAAGCTATAAATCTTATAAAGCACTTGTTTTCTTTGTGTAAGTCTATCAAAGTTGGATAAATTAGTAAGTGGATAGAGATGCCTGAAATGAAATCTGTTCATGATATGTAAGGTCACCAGAGGTCAAATCCTGGAAACCTTTAAAGTGGTCATCCTCCCAAGGATTTTGTTTGATCCTTCTCAAAGTTAGAAAAATACATACATGGGGATAGGTGACTAAAAGCTGTATACAATTTTCAGATCAAGTGTCATTTGGGTTTAGGAGGGTGCAAAACTAGGAATTTTATTAAGGTCGCAGGGCATTTTAGATCAGCATACCTCGTATGTTAAAGCTGATGTAATATCACTTCATAAGTCTTAATGTTTAAATACTTGCCTACCTGATAAATATAATCTGGAAGGATATGCCAGCTTCCTAAACCCTGAATGAAAAAAATTAATACCATATTTACTAAACTACTTGAGAAACTCATTTCTATTCAGTGTACAGTGACCTTAGTGCCCTTGAAAATGAGAGAAAATCCAAGACCAAATGGTCTTGCCCTAAAAATGGTGTATTTTCTGGCCTGATCATTGAATGACTTAAGTCAGAGGTTTTTAAGTGTATAGAACACGTACCTAACCACGTACACAGAAATTAGGCCATATGTACTTGATTTCTTATAGAAGACAAAATAGAATTGTAGCTAAAAACATGTAAATAACTTAGATTTACTGAACCATTCCCATGTATAGATGTTTTTTAATGTAGTGCTTGTCTATGGTTATAGGTAACAAGCATGCTTTATATATTTCTTAAACTTCATGAACATGGAATTTCAATTACATTGATTATTTTAAAAATGAGATTATACCAGTTGTTTTAAAACTATATATTTTGGCCCAAACTAATTATTAATTTGTCATGTTCAGGCAGGTTAGGAGTTTTAGAGAACACAAAATAAGCTTTTCCAAATAGTTTCTTTGGTGAAAGTCTGGTGTAATTTACTAAGCTGGTACAGTAACTGCAAATTCTTACAATTTAGGGATAATTGTTCCAATTTTATGCCTGTATAAATTGTTGTTTTAAGATTTTATGCGAAATTATTATTTTTTCTATAAATAATTCACCGATCTTCACTTTGCGTATCAGTCTTACAAAGTCTCAGAATAATCTATTAAAGTATGTAAGTGTCTAGGGTACACCGATCATTGTTTGAAAGTAGAACGACAGAAAAATGTGGTTTTGTTTTGTCCCCAATGACTCCAACAACAAAAAAAAAAATGTATATAACGAGCAGAAATTTATGCATGAGTATTTGAAAAGTTTAATGACATTGTATCATCCTCAAAGGGTAATAATGTAAAAGGGTAAATAATTTTTTATCAATTTTCCCATTGTTCCAGTAGGGATTACTATTTTTCAAAATTTAATGTTGGCAGGTGTGTATCTGATATTATTCATAGTATAGAATTTTGTTGCTTAATGTGAGCTTTTGTTTTCAAATTAAATTTTTTACTTTTTTTTATTTAAAGTCCAAGATATGGTGGTGGAAGCAGTAACTACAGAGGACGGTCTCCATCACCATACTACCGGGGACATAGGTATTCTAGATCAAGATCCCGTTCATACTCTCCTCGTAAGTACTACTACTAGGACACTGAGAATGGAGTAGAGCAGGAATTTCAAGACTTGTTCAGACTGTTGAGACCTTTTTTTGTAAATACTTTGTTTTTTTTTACACAGTGATGAACCATTTTTGAAAATCAGATTGTTGGATGTATTCATGTTTACAAGGTTTGGTTTTCTCCCTTAGTTATGTATGTTGTACACTTCTATATACAAAAACATAAATTTCAATTATAAATTTATTGGGGAAATTGAAATGTGGATTACTTTTTGGTTTTACAGCAAAGAAAAATCTGAATCTGTGAAAATACTATTGAGTTGAAACATTTTGGTATAAACTAACAAAGTATGGGTTTTAATTTTTCAGAATTTCCAAAAATTATCAATGGTGTTTCTTGTAATATTAATCTTTGATATCTTTCGGCAAACTATAGTTAAAAATAACCCAAACAAAAGGTGTTACTCATCAAGAAATGCTTTGCTCGTTGTCCAAGAATAAAGCAGATTGACTTGTAACAATTTTATTAGTCTATAAATGTTAATTCTTTCTTGTAATCCTGTAATGTGAAAAAATTTCTGATAGTTTATTTTGAAGTTAAACATCTAACGTCTTTTCAGTGATTATATGTAGAACATCAGTATTTATGTATATGACATGTTATTTTAGAAAACTAGATAACAAAGATTAGAGGCAGTGTTCCATGATAGGATTGATTTTTGTGATGAAAATAAAAACAAATGTCCTCACTATTCAATGTATTAACTGTACTGTGTTTTTCAGCCCTTTTAAACTACGTTTTGTATTCGTGGGGTAGGCTTACGAGCTGCTACAAAACTGTAATATTTGTTTTCACCAGCATATCATGGTGTTTCACCTGTTTTAAATAAAAACTGTTTCACATCTGAACTTTAACCTTCTTTCCTTTGTTCTGAATTAAAAGGGCTCGAAGAAAGAAATAAAGGATGAAGATTTAAGAATGCGAAGAAGAAAATAATCTTTGTGTAGCAAGAATAGAAGTGGGGTTGGTTAATGAAGAGAAAAACAGGAAGGGTTGAAAATTGAAGTTCACAGCTATAAGAAGTTTAAGCACGAAGATAAGTGCATAGTAAATGTGAATATGAAGAGAAGTTGAAGAAAATTTGGATGAAATTCTTTCATGAAGAAATTGAAGAATGAAGGCTCGAGTGATGTTTGTACAAGTAAGCAAACATCATGAAATCAGTGTTTCGCTTCATTTTTCATAACGCATACTTGACAAAATTAAAATCTGTAGAGGCAATTTAAACTTCTTAGCAGTTACCCTTTTGGTATTAAGGTCAAAAGCTCATGTCTTGCAAATTCAGGCTATTAAAAAGCTAACATTTGATTGCTGATAAAAATGCAGCATTTCTGTGGAGCGATTAAATTTATATCGAAGTTTAAAGTACCATGAAACTAAATTTTGTAATAGAAGCAGCACACATATATAGAGAAATATTGGAAAGCTGGAAATTTTAAACAGTCTGCCAAGGCTTAAACAAGATTCTAGCTTAAGTGACACACACTACATGCTTTGCTAATTAAAGCTGGGTGGGGGTGGGTATATTTTAACAAGATTCTAGCTTAAGTGACACACACTACATGCTTTGCTAATTAAAGCTGGGTGGGGGTGGGTATATTTTAACAAGATTTTAGCTTAAGTGACACACACTACATGCTTTGCTAATTAAAGCTGGGTGGGGGTGGGTATATTTTAAGTTTCATCAATTGATATTTCAATGTTTTCACTCAGTTGGGTTTGGCTGGTAGAATTTTGAATATTTTCTAATGTCTTGAATTGGCTATTCTTTTAAAGCTGGACTGACTTTTGGTTGTTTTTGATACACACTTATTTTCTTCTTCGTAGGTATACTTGTTTGTACATAATAAACTCAACCCTTTCATGGTTTTTGTAGTAATCGGTATAGGGTGTAATTAGCTGACCAAACATTGTGTAACCAACTGGTAAAGTTAGTGGGGGTAAATGTAAACTTTACTGAACAGTAGTTAAGGTCAACCTTCGTTAGTGTTAACAGTTTATATCCTCCTCCCCGAATACTTGGCTGTCTAGTTTTGGATGATTAACAAGAAATGAAAGAGTTCGTAATTATTTATATTAATGTTAAATTCTAACTACTCTATTTTAGTGAATGAAAAAATGTTACTTTCAGGTGTAACATGCTTAGAATGAGACTAAATTTTTGTGATCATAATCTTAGAAAGAATTACTGGGAGTAGATGTACATTCTGGGACTTAAAATTGGGAAGGAAGGAAATATCTATAATTTAATTAATATTTTTTAGAAACTGAAAGATCATTTTCAAGAAGAACAATAACCTTTGTGCTACTCAGTCTTCAAATTCTTCTGGTGTTTTAATTTGATGACTTTGAGGCAAAGCCTATGTAACATTAAAAATGATGCTGGTGTAGGTGTGGTCTCATCTGGCATCAAACAATGAAAGAAAATATTAATGTGTTATGTGGTTACCATATGGAAAGCTGAAAAACGAGGAATTTAAACTTGTCTTACTGCAGTGAATAAAATTGCTTTTTAACATACTAATAATTCATACCATTTTAAAACCAAATACTATATAAACGTTAGACTAAAATTACACTTTGCGAAGGACTAGTATTTAAAAAAACCTGAAAAGTATGTTTAGATTTGGTTTGCTCTAGTTTTATTAATTTTACTGTTTTGCGTCTCCTCATTCCACGGTTATGACGTTGAAATCGGCTAGGACAGTCAACTTGTCCCAGGGCTTAGACTTAGTCTTATTATCGTGCAGACGTGTGGGTAGATGGTAAATTAAAATGGGTGAAATTAAACTTGTAATATGTGAACCACACTGTGTTATATCCAGTTCTGGTGAGGCTTTTTGCTGGATGCCAGATCTCATCGTGCTGCTTATATCGTCGACTGTTTCAATGTGGGACACATTAAGTTGGTAAATTGTAACTTTTATAAATTTTATTTAAGTCATTACACTTCGTAATTAGGTTTTTTTATTTTATTACTCGCATTAAATTATTTAACACCAAATTTATTAAATTATTTATTTTACTTGAATTAAAGTCTGACGAACCAGTAAGCTTGAATTTTTCATCCCAAATACTAGTAATTATGAGTAAAAGTAAAAAATTCAGTGCCAACGAAGCTTTTGGCTCAGTGCCAGAACTCATCACGTGAAAGGTAAGTATTTAAAACAGTTCTGATATCCACCATGATCACTTCCATAGGACGTGATAACATGGCATCGATTGTAAGAACTGAAACTGGCTGTCTTAATTCACATCTAACTAACCTACCCATTGTAATAACAAAATGTTATTGATAACAGTTAGTGTTAAAATGTTAATTATTGCGTGATGGTTTTAAAATAAACCTTTATCGCGATTCTTCACCTTAACTTAAGAGCGGTTTTGAAAAATTGATATAGGATAACTTGCGAGTTGTAAATACAACGGCATCGTAAACCAGTCGACCTGAAACGTCAAACCGCGCTGCAAGCATTTTTATTTTACCGTTTTACCAACACCAGCCATTCCAGTACAGTAAGCTTAATTTCCACCCTCACCAGTTTCAACACCTTGTTTTGGAATAGTCTTGTAAGAAATAAAGAAACATTACAGATTGTATAAATCACGTGGGAGAAAGCCACGTGTTCACGGTGTACAGATTACAACCTTTTCCTCATGGTGGGGCGGGGCGTGTGCCGTATTTAATTTGTCACATTAAAAGTACGAAATTATTAACTTCACACGGGGATGAAATTAGCTTATCATATCCGTGTGCAAGTTTAAATTTCTACTTCTCGTACGAGTTTATTTACGTAACTAACTTAATAAATTAGTTGGATTGGGTGTTTTTTGGTGAGACGACCATTTACAGTTCAAAAAATATTCTCCCAATCAGCCCCCATGATGTAGTACTGTTTGATATTACCTAGACAGTTTTAAATATGTTTTTAAAAGAAAATGTGTATATGAGAAACGCTACTAAAAATTTGGAAGTCTTGGTTTTACACTCATTCGTTAAATGTTGATTACATGCCTTCATTTGAGTCCAATCTAAACCGCGTTTCGCACTTCGTACGCCACGTGAAATAGTTTTTCCATTAACTCTGGCGCTCTAGTTTTTATTTAAACATACCTACAGTAATCAGTATGATTGTTCTGTTCGGGCGTGTATTTTATAATTATGTACAGTATTGTTGTATGAAATGTATCCAAAGCGATCAAGTAACATGTGCTACTAATCCGTTTCTTAATATCTGCCGATTGATCAGTCTCATTATATAAGCATATTACCTGAAACAATCCCAGCAATTCTTAAAGTTATACATAAATAATCCAGGCCACGAGTTATAGTTATCTAGTAAGACTAGATACGGAGTTTTATACGTGTATTTTCCGTATCAGTCCTGAAGATGGCGCTTGCTAATGAGCACAGATGGCGAAGTGTCTGGGTTTAAAAAAAAAAGGTCAAACGTGTATTTAAAAAAATAAGTTCGTTTGAGATTTGTTTCCTATAACCAATGGCATTCATTCGAAGTGGAGAACATACGTGATACCCAATCATCTGTAACGTGTTCCTTTGAGATTTGTTTCCTATAACCAATGGCATTCATTCGAAGTGGAGAACATACGTGATACCCAATCATCTGTAACGTGGGAAGTCCACTAAATAAAGGTAAGTTTGGTTAGTTTTTATCAATGTGAAATTTTGATTTTATAAATGATTATACGTCAGAATGGCCTTGTAATGTGTGGTGTTTATTAAAAACGAAGTTTATGTGAAATGTTTTCACTTTACTGTAACAGAGAAGACAGTGTGAAGGTGGAACTCTATGCAGGATACGGATGTATCTACACACAGTAAAGTTATTTATTACATACGGTTCTACTCGTAGTAACACCAAACTAAACTCAAGATTAATCTCTCTCACACAACACATTAAAATAACTGTCTTTGAACAAATGAAAATTATCACGAGCCAATAAGCTGAAGATAACATTTTCAGTTTTTTCGGCACGATCAGAATTTATATCGAATGATAACTGTAACTATCAACACATACCATATTTGGTTGTGATGTAACGGATTATGGTGTTTTTGTTAATTTAAAAAAAAAATATTTGACAACAAAAGGCTTGTAAATATAATACAAAAAAATGGTTTTATAATAAATATTAAAAGCACGGTATTACCAAAAAACATCTTTAATACGGACATTTCGGAGTTTACTTAAATTCTATCATCGGCGTTAATATAGAGTAAAGAATTGATAATATTAGAACTACAAAAAAAATATTAGCATGGAACGAGTTTTGGTATTCAATCGGAAGTTCAGAAATAACCAATATCATGGAATGTACGAGTGTACATATGTTTAATAAATAGCAATGACAACAGGAAAGAGTTGATATTATTTAGTGTTGGGTGATCGATGAAAATGGAAAGCCTTTATTTAATAAAGAGTATATAATCCGTGGTTCCGGAGTCGAGATTTTTAAAGTTTTGTAAAAGTATGGGGTGGTTGTTATGGTCTCTTAATCGGATGCAAGACCTGGGTGGATTAATTAGCTTACATCTGTTTCTTGTAGAAACTCCCATGTGCACGTATTTGTAGGTGACGTGTAGTTTTACCAATATAGGTAGCTTTACAGCTTCCACAACTGTAGTTATATACGACCCACGAGCGCATTGGAATGGGTAGTGTCTTTGGTTTTAAACATTTTTAATTCTAAATGTTGACATAAATACTAAACGTAGTTTAATTTGTGGGTAATATGTTTGTTTTTATTTGAGTTTAAAACTTTGCCGATGAAAGGAATGATAGTGGATATTTTGACTGTTCGACTTTTTTGTAGGTTCTGTTTTAAACTGTTAATTTTTCGTGTGATAGAATGCAAGAAATGGAGGGGGTTAACGATTACTTTTTAATATATGAATTTTTGACATTTCTGAGTGGATACAGAAGTAGATATTATACACTATTAAAGATGTTTTTTTTGGTATTACCGTTCTTATTTATTAAAACTTCGATGAATCGGTTGCAAATAGAAAAATAATTGTGGCTAAAACATTGATCTTGGTTATTTTAACATTATAAATAAACATGGTGTAAGCAGTCATGCTTAAGGGTTCAATTTTGTCTCGACCATGCTTGTAACTGTGGTAATCAGTGAACTTACTGTGGACTACATAGGTATAGGTGTAGTGAGCACACCTAAAATGTGATTGAATATAACTACGAGATACTACTGATTTACACTTTTCGACTACGTAAATGGCTTATTGTGGCATCAGGACAAGTAAGAAAAACATCTTGTTCTTTAATAATGGCTGGAGACGGCTTAAATGGGTAATGAAGAAAAACTTTAATATAAGTTTAACATGACAGCAAATGTACCACGTTTCGACAAGGTTTTGTCATCATCTTTAAGAACTAGATGAACCCTTATGAAATTTTTATTGCACTTGGATGATGTCAAATGTTTCGGTTAAATCTCGTGTCTGAAAGGTTTGCAAATTTGTTGTAAACATAATAATTATGACCAACTAGTAATTAATGTGATTAATTTCCAATCAAAATAATTATATAGACAGAACAATAAAGATACACACACACACACACACAGTAACAATGCTGGTTAAAACTTCCAATCTTGACTACTACACTACGTCTATACATTTAGAAATCCCGTTGGGGAAAAAAAATATTGTTAATTTATTACCTCCTCCACCGAAGGGGGACGGGTGTTGTTTTCACCGTTGTGGGGATGTTTGTCAGCAAGATTTCTCGAAAACGGCCGAGTGAATTTGGACAAAAGTTAGTATACGTTTGTATTATGTCCCAACTTAGAAATGGTTAGTTTTTGAAGGGTCATGGTCATAAAATTACAAAAATCTATCTGTTAACCGATTTTTCATACTATTTTTGTTATATAACTCTGTCAAAATGTCGCCGTTACTGACATTTTCCGTGAGTAAGCGTACCACAGGGAACCACTGTAAGTCCGTCACAAGTTTACTAAAATTTAGTTAGATCAGTACGAAGCGCGTTATAATTTTTAGTGCAAGGTTATTTAGTAGTAGTAGAACCCTGACATGTCAGTCATATAACTTTGTTTATCGCTGAATATTAGGGTTTAAGTATTTGTTTATATTAAATTCACAATTAAAGCAAAATTGTTTTTGTAATAAAAGCCGTTCTTACCTTGCTGGGAAATACTTTTCTACAAAGATTATATTGTAGTCTACTTGGAAAGAAAATATACCTTTAAAATCGCCAAAGATTAGTCCCAAGTTTCATTATTATTTTGTAAATACACGTATAAAAATATATATAATAATAAAGTAAAAGAATGAAATTAACGTGTATGGTTTACACCGTATAACGTAGTGATAATATGGCAGCATACTTAATATAGACACTTGACAGATAATAAAGATATTAGTCTGTGGAAAGTTTCTGAAACCCCGAAGAACTGGATCTGTTATTCCTTACGCACAGTAAAATTCTGTTGAACAACTGAAGCTACCATAAATACTAATAGAAAGAAACCTTATATAATGATTGAAACCACTATACAGTAGAGAAGTGATCGTTTCTGATCAATATAAATCTCACTCGTGTTACGTGTTGTACATGCTTATTACGTTGTTTAAATCTTAATTCTTAAAAACAACTTATTGGTGCAAGATCTCTAAGTACACTGCGATAGTCCCTAACATAATTAATACGTTACACATTTGATTAAAAAGTTCAAAATAACCGGAGTTGTTTTCCTGAGCTTTAGCATTGAATAAAAAAAATCTAATATACAAATTTGAAACCTATTTTTTTCAAGATTTGCGGTATCGATCGTTAAATAATAATTTTTACCAATAAAGAAAGTTTTATCTAGAATATAATAAAACGTGTAGACTATCTTGCAATAAAGAAAATTGGAATTTACAACGACGAAATTTATTGTAGTTCGCCCAGTTTAACGTCATTGCACGTGACATTTTGATAAAACTATATACCGATAGTAACGTAAAATATTAATTTCATCAATTAACTTCAAAATAAACTTTTAGCGTATCCAAGTATTAATTTTGATAGCGATTGGTTTTTCTTTTAGAAATTTAGTAAACGTTTAATTTCGAGTTTAAATGTAGCCTTAAGTAATATATTTTAATTCGGTAATTAGATACTCCAATTGAAAGGTGAACTAAAGTCGCACTTGTATATACAACTAATTGTAGAATGAAATGGTTGACTTTGTTTCCACGATTCTTGATATTAATTACGTGTCCTATTTGGAACATTTGTTGAAAATATTTTCAGAACTCTAGTTTTAATATTACTGTTTTTCTAATTTCAATATTGTTCTAAGCCATATTTATAACGTTATATCTTATTGGCTAGAGGGCGTAACGTTAAACTTTTTCTTGAAGCATCGTTAGGTTAAAAACAGTGTTTGCAAGATAGAATGTAAACCACTTCGTGTGTTAGCTATCGCCATTATTTTGCACAACTAAATTTGTAGATACGTCGCATGTGAAGTTGGACTGCACCAATTCCCGGAAGTGTTAGTCTGTAGATACGTTAAAGGAAATTTATTATAATTATGGGGCCTATATATTGAATTACTTTTACCAGTTAATTTTAAAGAAACCGCCAGCAAAAGGATTACGTGTTAAGTCCACCAAATTTCATTGGTATTAGTAACTATTTTAATGTATTTTGGATGAATACCAAACAACAACAACAAAAAAATTCGGCTTAAAGCTTGTTCTTGTCTTAGACATGAAAGGAAGCAATAGCGTTTATTCTTAAGAGTAAGAGCTCGACTATGATTTTCCTGTATTATCATTATCGCAAAATTTTTAATATCGTTATGTTTAAGTTTCTGAATCCTTTAAGTATTTTAGATATTGGTAAAACTATTCGTTTAGTTGTAATTCACTGTTTAGGAATTTATTTTTTATATTAAAAATAAAATTTGGGGTTTGATCCCAACGACGGAACTTGTACTATCGTAAAACTATAACGATGTAATTAAAAACATCCAATAAAATACAAAAATGCATCATGTTGATCCGTCAGTTAACCAATTACAGTAAAATGCCCTTAGTGCCCACTGAATGTATGTGTGTGTATAATGTCGTCAAGGGAGGACAAGAAAAAATGTTACAAATTTAAAATTAAATAATTTTCAGTAAATTGTTTCCATAACTTCCATTTACCAATTTCTTTAAAGGATAATGTTTACTTAACGTAACTTTTTAGGATTATTCTATTGAAGAAAGATCAGGTTCTACAACAGAAGAAAAATTATATATACTGGTCTTTCTACAGTTGATATTTTATTACCCTTCCTTTTCTTCAAATTACGTGTTTTTCATCTTTTAAACACAGAAATGGAAATCAGTTGCCAGAATAATATTGTGCAGGAAATGGTGGATTTAGTTTTAATACAGAACTTACAATAATGCATCTAATTGCTCAAGTACATTTTTTGCTAAAACAATACCATATTAGTTTTGATAGTTTGCAACGTGGGAAAGTGGCACAAGTTACCATTAGGACTTGCAACACTCGTAGAATCAAATTAACACAGCTAAAATACTAGTCACTTAAATGTTTAATAGACGTAACGATACAACTACAAGTTTCAACAATAAATTCACATTAACCCATTGTTAACCAGCCCCATATCCAAATGGATGTTACTACATATTTATAATTTAACTGGACAGTATAGTTAACTATGTTTAACTTTGGAATGCTATATGAAAGGAATTGCT